ATTGATCCGCCGCATCCTGCAACGTCACTTCTACACCCAGGTAGTTCTCCAGCCTCACTGCATACGGCACCGTCTCAGCGTCGTCACAGCCCTGCATAAATGTCAAGAGGGACAAAACGCACTTGATTTGCTCGCTGGAGAGAGAAAGCTCACATGGGGAGACAGACACGTCACATGACGCACTAGAAAAATCCTCCGTGCGAGCAACCACCAGCACAGAGAGCAGATTCCGTAAAAGTGAAACATGCGATTGCGAAGAAAATTCCCAGAGAGAGAGCTGCTGTATCCCTGATCGAGCCTCCAGGAAAGCCTCCCCTGTTGTTTCCCGCCTTGACACAACCGAAGTGCTATCAAGGATAAAGCTTATCAATGGCGCCCCACCACTCGGTGGACACAATTCAACAGGAATGATGGACACTGTCACAAGTGCCTTCCACCTGGCAACTGAAAAGCCGCGTGTTTTCACAGGCGATGGGTACTCTCGCACTGAAGCCTCGGAAAATGGTACTTCGGCGTTCCACACTCCTCTCAGGCAACGCATTGTGCCAAACAACAAAACGGGTATACTCACACTCTCTACTCGCAAGGATGAACTCAATGTTGCGTAGTCATCCCTGTGCCTCAGCGTCCAATCCAAGTCTAAATCCATACGAGAAACCAGACCGTGTAGAGCCCCCTTTTCCATAAATTCAAGCCGTCCCCGTTGCAAGCGCAGATGAGAGACGGTTTTCTTGAAGCATGTGAAAAAACGCAGATCCACCGTTGAGAGATTCAGGGTGAGTCTGCACTCATCGCGCAGTGTTAAGCATACAGCACCGCGATGAAAAGAAAATAAAAATTTTTGCACCGTTTTCTTCTCCACCTCCGCCTGAGCGCCGGTCGCGTTTGACTCGCCGCCGAAATCCTCTCCAATGCAGTTGTCGCACACAAAAGAGGCACATTCGTCCTCAACAGTGATGGCATGCTGAAAAAAAGAAGAAAAGTGGCATCGGCGAAAGCACACATGGGTCCCACTGCAGACCACCATGTGCATTCCTGAGGTGCAGGAAAGAAAGGTGCAGTCTTCCACCAAAACCATTTCGCCTGGAGAGTCAAAAAACCACGGACCGGTCCGGTCCAAATTATAATGCCCACCTCGTAGCAAAGTGCAGTTCACTACATTCCGCCTTTGAATTGAATTCATCATGTGCCGAAGTTCCATCCATAATCCCAACAATTCTTTCACGGCATCCGCTTCAGAAACCCCTTTGAGATGCACGTTCCAATTCTTCACCACTGCGTGAGTGTACTTCTCACAGGCCACAACTGATGTGTCGCTATCCATGTCGCAATCACTAAATACTCCACTTAATTCCTCGGGAAAGGGAGCAGATTGCTGGGCATATTTCACCCCTTCAACCTCCAGCCGGATCATATCGCCCACATTCAATTTAATCGAAGGAGCAGTGCATTCAGCGGGTGAGCGTTTTACCGCGTGTACGGCGTCATCCCAAAAGTCCTCTACAGCAATGGGTAGCGTGGCTGTGAAGGAAGAAACAGTTGCGCAGAGACCAATGGACATAAATCGGTGGTGAAACACTTCCACCTCAAGATGGGGCATACTTATATCCGCTAAAAGCTTTTCACAAACGTTGATCAACGTCAATGGTGATGCCTCCCGTAGCTCAGGAAGAAGTTCACCAAAATTCACAAGTGGCGCACCCGCACCACCATTTATTGAGGGCATATTCACTCGGCACATTAAAGCTTCATCTCCGCCAAACTTAACTGCACAAGAAGAAGCGTACATGACGAAGGCCAAATTGCTAAAACCACTAAAAAACAGTCGGTATGCTTCTGTAGGCACAAGGTTGTTCACAAAAAAGGTGGCGTAATCTTTTATCAAAGTTCCCAACAAATCTAATTCCAAAAAAATGAGTCGTTGCATACAGACCTCCGCAAGACACACTGAGACCTGCAAAGAGGACGCAAGATACGGTCGTGCGGTTGTTGGAATTGAACTTAACTGGCGGCAGTAAAAGCACTTTATTGGGGCAAATGTCAGAGCATCCAAGAACCGAAGCGTTTCAGCGGAGCAGTACGTTGCATCGCCATATACATGGAATTGCATAGCATCAATATGCAATAAATTTCTTGTGGAAGACGCCTTCCATACTGATTCCAGTACCCCTATCGACACATTCACACGTGAAGCGTCACTTGTTGAACTTGTTTTTGAGTATAAAATGCCGCTAGGACACGTCACCGTCAATACACCTCCTTCCACATGATCTGTTGAAAACTCAAACGATGATATGTTCGCATGCACCGAAGGAAAACCACACGTTTGTGCCCCTCTCCACATATTCATAGTTCCCAGCTGCATACTGAGATTTAAGGGTTCAAAAGTAATAACGACACCCAAGAGATATGTCCGCTGTAATTTTAGCGCGGAATTAAACTCCTCTTTTAATTCAGCCTCACAACACACCTCTGCGAAAGACTTTTTTATCTGTGTTTTACCCGTTGTTGACTGCACTCTTGATACAAAGCCTGGCATGTTACTAACCCGTAGTAGGGCATCGTTCCACTCAGTTCGAACGTGGTACAAATACTCCCACAGCGCATTCGATACATTTAACGTCACCGCAGACACCAAGATATCCTCCTCTTCAGTCATTTCCACCTTCATGGGTGATAGCACGTCCGTTTCCTCGCCAAAACGCACAGACAATTCCTTCATCAAAAGACCCACACGTGAGTCACCGGATGTTCGCTCTATATGCGTCAGGGATAGTTGCTTCAAATGAAACCGCAAATCATCCACATGAAAATCTATCAATGGGAAAACAAAACTTGTGGTTTTTTCACATCGATTACTCAATTTAGTCTCCGGTGCATTACAATTTGTTTCTGGAATCGCCCGCAGAACGTGTGGCATGGCAACCATGATAGGCTGAACCAATTGCAGCATCCAATTAGATGTGGTGATAAAACGCAATGCTTCTAACGTCGTCCTGACAAAAGTCATGCCATTGCTTTCGGTTTGCTGAAGAGAAAAAAACGGTTCCCCGGAATCCGGCGCCCGTAGCAGCTGAGACTTTCCCCCCGCAACCAATGTGACATTCCCAACCGAAAAATTGGACTCCCCGCGGCGCTTCACAAACGCGACATCACGCAGCCACACCGTTGTTTCAGCAGGCAACCGCACGCACGTAATTTTCGCGTCCACGTGAAGAGACGAGACAACAACGAATTGACGAGCATCTGAAGGCTGCGTCGGCGGCGGTGTCACACCCGCCCCTGTACTGCCAGCAAGTACCGTCGTGGAGTATCTCTCTTGAACCTTGCGCCTCAAAAATAACACCACATCACGATAGCGAATATCACCCTCAATGTCGGCCAATTGCTCCCTCTTTTCCGCAATGTCCCGTGTGCGATGGCAGTAATCCAAGAGCGCAAGATACGACGTGCGGGCTTCGGCGTAGAAGTGAAGGTGCGACGAATTAAAGTTGTAACGCCTCCTCCTGTCCCGTATAAAAGCGAAGACACAACTCTTGGCGTAGGACCAACGTGAACTCAATGAACGCAGCTTATAAAACGGACGGCAATACTCAGGAACCTCTTTCATGATCCCATGGCTCACGGCGCACCTTGTGAGAGACCGCAATGCATCCTCATCAAAAAACAACGAGGATACGCCGTCAAAAACAATGGCAACGTTCTTGCGACAGAGAATACCTGCAGAACTGTACACGGAGGTAATGCGTATACTGAGATGATCAATTTCCACAATCTTTTGCGTTTGCTCCTTAGCAGCATTTGCACACACGGCAACCCCACTGAAGGTGATAACGATAACCTTCATAAGCTCAGCACCGGCCTCTAATGTAGGCTCAATTTTCACCATGATCTCGCTCACCGTAATCTCAAAGCCCACGTCAGAATGTGAATCGCACGGCCACACAACACAGGGGTTCTTCAACTGCACGTGAATGGGTCGATTCATGACCCACGACACAGAACGACTGGCGGCATTGACAAGAAACGAAAAAAAACCTTTTCCATTCTGTGGAAGGGATGCCAAATCCTCTTGAGAATCGCAAGATGCAAATGAAGTGTTACTGACACTCTGACATGACATGTAATCATCATCCTCCAATGCCGCCGACCACGATGTTTCACGCTCCTCAGAGTTTTCCTCGGACGCCAACGGTGCAGCACTTCTCTGCTCTTCATGAGAATTGACAGGCACAGAAGACGTCACTACGGTTCCGAGAATGCTTTCTTCTGTAATACCACCCCGTATCTCCTCCCTCGTCATCTCTTTTGTGCAAGATTGTGAAGTCTCGCCATTCAATGTAAAGGCCATTCCCTCACAACACAAAAGCAGCGGCTCATTAGAGGCTGGCCATGGAATTTTTACGCGCAGATCGCCAACCTTTCCGCATTGTATAGTGAAGGGAAGAAAGGTGTTCAAAGTATCTTGTCGAAGTGACATGTCCCGGATGCGCAACGTCCGCTCCCTGAGAGACGATTCAACATTGCACGCATTAATGTCTCCTATTTTTGCCAAGCTAGAAATAACATAAGAAACAGCCTGCTGCAACATATTCCAAGCTGCAAAGGCACCACTGGTAAAAATAACATCCGTAAGAGAAAAAGAAAAAGAAAAAAGGAATAAAGATCACAAGTGTGAGTCCCACACACACACACACACGAAGAAAAAGGGGGCGGCACATATTCTCAATCCATAGAATGCCGCAGTACGTGATGGCGTCTGCATCTCCCTTCCAGAACGCCGCCTTCTGTACGGAACAAAAGAAAACGCGAAAAAAGAAAATATATATATAAATATAACCGCAGATATTTAAAAAGAGTTCGTTTCTCCCTAAAGTCGTTACCAAAAACAAAACAAAACCTTCTCCCTCCCTGTCCTTCTTAGCCCCCACAAACACGCGCACAAAAATATAAAAGTAAAAAATTGTTCACTTCGTTCTCTTCTTCCCGCTATTGTTGGAAATTGGCAGCGATGTGATGGGCCAAGGCGTAGCCGAAGCAGCACATGGGCGGAAACAACACCCTCCACAACATTTCACGTTCGTGAATTCCCATGGCAAGCACAAAAATCCGTCCAAGCAGCAAACTTCATGCATATGTATGTATGCACATCCAATTTCATTTATTTTTCATAAAAACAAACGCCAATTATCAACAAGAGAAAAAAGTACAAGCAACAGACACACAAAATCAATCATATGCATTTTTTTTCTTATCAGCACATACAAATAAATAAATAAATAAAAATAAAAGATAAAAACAAACAGCGGCACATGCGTATTGGTAAGACGAGTTTCTCTTCATCACGCAGAATCAATAAAAAGCAGAAAAGAAGATCAAGGCCTGGCCCATCGTACCCAACATCCCAACCCGGATGGCACCTAAAAAGCACCCATACGCCCATAAATGAATTCTTAAATCATATTCGATGGCAACCAAAAGCCCACTGTAAACCGAAGAAGTGATCACCTTTAACGCAGCCCCAAAGGCGCCGGGCTCCACTCCAATGCCGTAAAGAGGAATATGGGACGGCTAAGGGAAAAAAATACGATAAATTGCTTTCGCGACGCCCCCCAAATGCACAGTTGCGTTGAAAAAAAAAAAAAGGGCATTGCCAATTATCAAGACTATTCTCGTCACAGAGTCCTCCTAAGCGCTTACGGATCATCCCGCAATGGGGATCACCAATGAATTCGGTGCGAACAAACCCTGTCGGGGTTCTTTTTCAGATACATTTGGTGATAGTCCTCTGCGACGTGAAGGCGTGAGGCCTTCTCCAAGCTCGTGGCAACTTGAGCGTCGCCAAAAGCCTTCACAAAGCCCTCCCGAAGCGCCGGGTCTGCACCATTGAGTCTTGAAATGTAGTCCTTTGCCTCTTTCAGTTGCTGGTCATCGTGGTAAAAAATAGCGCTGCGATATTGCGTGCCCACGTCCACTCCTTGCCGATTCACCGTCGTCGGGTTGTGAATGCGAAAGAAGAAATCAAGAAGCTGTTGATAAGTGACCTTTTCAGGATTGTACTTGACGTGCAGCACCTCCGCATGCCCTGTTGTGCCCTTCTTGACCGCCGAATATGTGACAACTTCGTCAGATTCCGCGCCCCCCATGTACCCCACTTCATGCGACAACAACGCATCCCCAAATTTCTTGACAAAAAAACGCTCCGTCCCCCAAAAACAACCGGCGGCAAATGTCGCTGGAGCACCAGAAGCCATCAAAACTTCAATAAAATAAAATTAAATTAAATTAATAAATATATATTTCTTTACTATGTATCCTTCAGAACAAAACAACTACAGCCCACAAAAAAAAAAAATAGCTGCACCACCACAAGGGGAAAAATATGTCATATATGCATGGAGAAATGAGCAGACATGGTCAAAGAGAGCAACCAAAACAACACGGCGGTGGCTGCAAGTAGTGGCAAACAGAACAATGAACATGACACCAACAGTAATAGTGAACACATACCCCTTTTTTCATGTTAATATAATTGACGTGACTTCAACCTTATCCCCTCTCTAGTCTTATTCTTTGCCTTTCTTCACCACCACCACCCTTGGCATGCATACAACCACACTCAAACAGAAACACAGACCACCCTGCCTCCCCTCTACCCAAATATTTAAAGTCTACGCGTCCCCTCACTTTTTTTTCCGCGGTTTTTTTTGTTTATTTTTTTTTTTTTTTTCGTCTTCTATTGACGTCTCCCACGCATCCGTCGAAAAAAATAGCGCGTGACGCTTCCCACGGCAAGAGCAAAAAAAGTCACAATTGCAACGCGTCTCAATATCCGCTGGAGAGTTAAGGGTGCATTTCCCACGGCAATTTCGGGTTCCTTGGCTACTGCATACATGTATTCGTTAAGGGCAGCGATATCAGATTCCTCAGGAGTCTCAACACTTGTCACAACAGGCGGCCATAATAATTGATGCTCCCGGCAAAAGCGCTCCATCACCTGACTCTCATTTGTGGGAGCCTCCGTTGACGCCGAGGCCTCCGCCTTCGTCATGACAACCACAAAGGGCAAATTACGACAACGCAACGGTAACGCCTTGGCCTCAAGATATGCACGCATAATAGGCAGTGTAGTTTCCTCGATATGACTTCCATCGTAACAGAGAATTACCACGTCCAGCTGCTTCTCTAGCGTGTCGTCCTCTAATACTTTTGTAAGGTTTTCAATGGGCACTGTGACGTACACAACAGTCTGTAGTGCTTCCCCCTCGCCATGCCTAACAGGGAATGTCGTGGTTCGGACGTACATTTCTTGCGATGCACTCGTATCTTCCTTGTACACCTCCTCATCTAACGCCGTCAGTGTAAACATGAGACTTCTCCGTCCACATCCGGCGGAACCAACCACCAGAACTTGAATTGTGTTCGGCACCGCCTCACCCACTTCACGGTAAGGACGTGCATGACGCAACAAGAATAAAAGAATCGTGTCCCCCTTATAACCCCAATATCTAGCATACTGCACAACCACACTCCGATTTGTCAACGCCATATACTTCCAGTATTCGATAAACCTATCCAATGGAATTTCTGTCGTAAGGAAACCATGTACATGCTTCCAGGGGCATCCAGGGGTAACATCCCACATATTGTTAAGGTCAGAAAAGCGGCGAAGCTTGTACAAATTCCGAAAGAACTGAATGGCGGTATGAGAAAGATATGTGTTGCTCTCTTTGCTCACACGAACCGCGTGGATATCCCTCCATGAATATGGCAGTCCATCCGGACAAACCCCCGTTAAATGAAGTGTTGCCCACACTTTCTTGGCGTCACCATTCATCAAGAAATTCTCCTGCATCTTCATAAAGGTCTCACCATTGATCGACGGAGGAAAATTGTTCAAGGAACAATGGGTACACAATTCAGCAAGATCACTTTTTGAAAAGCAGGCTGATGTCACAGAACGCTGCCATGCAAGAAGTTCCTCCTCATTCAACACTCCATCACCATCTTTATCGAGAAGCCAAAACGCGCGGCGAATGGATAATTCGCCATTTCTTGTAAACGTACGCAGCACGCCGTCCCAAATAACATGTGGTGGGGAAAGGCCTATATCCACAACTAGTGAGCGCAGCTTTTCCAAAGCGTGCACACCATAGTAAAAGTCACAATTCCTCAGCATACCCACAACACCCTCTGGAGCGCTCTCCAGTGATACGGTGGGTTTGCCACAATAACTTTTAACCTCCAGGGGTGGGCTGGCTCCTCGTGTAAGAACAACCAGGTGGCACATGGACAGCAGCCGACCGTCAGCTTCGGACACACCAGTCGAAGAAGTACACGATATTTCGTAACGCCGATTCCATGCAAAGTTGGTATTCTCTACGGAACTTCCAAGCGCTGACTCCACTCGATGAAATTCTGCTCCACAGACCAGCACGCGAATAGTCGCTAGCACCATCTTTGCAAAAACTAATAGCCCAATTTGTTTTCCTCTTTTTTGTTTTTTGTTGTTGTTGTTGTTGTTTTCTACAAATCGTCCACCCCACCGTCTTGAGAGGGGCACATAATTGGAAGCACAAAAGAAAAAAAAAAAAAAATCGAAGTGAATGTGCAAAGGAAAAAAATACACCCACATGCATAAAAGCAATAATATATATATATATATATATATATATATATATGTATATATCGAAAAAACAGTAAGTACGGCACAAGGAAACTTTTAGCCCTCCTCCTCCTGCTGCTGCTGTTTTGCAATGAGAAATTCATGAAACTCGCCCTCCCCCCACTAAATAGGTTACATCATTATGGGACGGCAAAACATTTTATCACGCATTTCCCCGTCAAGTTTTCTTCTCTTTTTTTTTTTTTCTTCCGTCATTCTTCTCTTCATACCCCCCTTTCAACGTGCAGCATTTCAAAAAAAAAAAAACTAGATATGTATAATGTTAACAATTATTTTTTGTTCCTCGGTTGCTTCTCACCTGATGACTTTTCTTCGTTCTCATGTAGCTCATCCTCTTCTGCTGATTGAAAAGACTTCTCGGTCGGCTTCGGCCTCTCCGGCTCCTTTTCAGCCTCGTGAAGAGAAGACTCTTCTTCGGATTTGACCGCCGTGTTTGCCGCCTTTTGTGCCTCCTCCAACGACATTTTCAACGCACGTGCAAGCATTTCTTCTTCAGACATGTTCTCCAAATTTTCTGGCTCGGCAGAAGGCGGCGGGACGTCCGTCCGCGTCGCTGTACTGACGGGGGCCGTGCTTTGGGACGCCGCTATTGTGGCCGCAGCGGCCTGCCGTTGTTGCTCCTCCTCCAACGACATGCGAATGGCCATGGCAAGATCGGGGTCGTTGGAAGGGTCTACGCCAAAACCCTGGTACGTATCCTGGGTCTCGTTTGCGCCGCCACCGCTGTCAGCGCCAAGCAAAATGGAGCTGGACATCAGTGAGTCTGTGAGGTTGGCACCAGCTGGAATGTTAAGAAAGCGGGAGTTGCCATTTTTATTCAACTTCTCAACAAATGCCGAGAGCCGAGGAACATTTGCCTCCACACAAATCCCCACTATGTCAACTGCCACATCATCTTTTCGGAGCTTTCGCGCCAACTTTTCCAGCTCCTCGTCCGTTTCACTGAGTGGGGTGCCGATGAAGGCGACGATGCGTTTTTCCGCCCGGGGGTTTGTTCGGTGACTCAACGCCAAAGAAGCTATTTGGAGCCCCTGTGAAAAGTGGCAACGTTTGCCTCGGATGGAAATATTTGCAAGACTGCACATGACGCGCTCCACGTCCAGCGTGAGCGTCTCAAAGACGGTGCACGCATTACCCCCAAGTGTCAGGAATCCCACAGTGTTTTCCGCATTCATCTGAATCTTTGCGTTGGACAGCAGGCTAGCGGCCTCCTGCACACCGAGGAACCGACTGGGAAATTGATCGCCGTTGCGCATAAACTCCGTGGAGTCCAGGCACAGAAAGCACGCCTCTGGCATTTGTCTCGCTGGATTTTCCTAAATAAATGTGTATCAAAGCCACACGAATAAATCTGAAAGGATGCACGCTAAAGCACTTACGACTTACTGTTATTCCTTCGTCTTTTTGTTGTTTCTGTTTTGTTTTGTTTTCTGTTTTTTGTTTTCCTCGTAATTATTTTTCCTCTCGCTTTCCCTTCAACGCATTTACGGAGGCATTCGCGGAAAAGTGTTGTTGTTTCCGTGAAACAAGAAATGATACACACGCACACGCATACACACAAAAAAAAAAAAAACGGAGCCTTGTCTCAGACCCCCCTTTCCTTCCTTCTCGCCCCTGCGTGCTAAACACCAAATGTAAAATAAGGTTCTTTCAATAGGTCAACAGGGAGCCAAATGCCCTCTACATTCCCACCCCACCCCGCCTCATTGTCATTGTTGTTTTGTTTTTCTTCTTCAGCCCGAGTTTGTTTTTGTAAGTGTCTCCGCCAACAGAAGTTGATAGGCGCCCAACACCTCCTTCGCCTGTTGCTGCACCAGAAAGACTGCAGCCGACTTGCGCCACAATAAAAGTTGCTCCCGCGCAACTTTGACCGCGGTGTCCCCAGAAACACTCGCCTTCAGCCCACCATCCTTCGCGTTTTCATAGCAGAGCTCATCTGAAACAGTTTCAACGTACTTCAAAGCACTTCTCAAATCCTCTGTCGTGTGCAGCTGCCGTCTATCGCGAAGGAGAAGGTCACGAAGTGCCCTTTGCTCCTTCTGCATGATGATGTCGCCTTTACTAAACGTATTCAACTTGGCCTCGCTAGTGAGCTTGCGTACACCATCGCAAATGGCATTGGGAGCCTTTGTTCCATGATCGCTCTGAAAGTCAACGTAGCGCAACACCGCCGCCTCAATCGCCTGGTCAAGTTCCTCCATGCAGAAGACAAAACTCGAACTGCACTCACCAATAGACCGTGGACTGCTAACGTCAGCGGGAATATTAATGACGCTGTCACACACCACTTGGACAAGTGGCTCGGCAATAAGGAGTTGACGAATTGTCTCGATCACACGGGGAATTCCTACATTTTCACCGTGCTCAAGAAGAAGTGCAAAATTATGCACCTTAATACAGGAGACGTCAAATGCCAAAAACTTCGCCATCTCAGTTGCCATGTACCGATAGTGACTTGTGAGACCTTTCAGGGCACCAAGCGCCTCCGGAAGGGCTTTCAAAAACGAGTGCAGCTCCTTGTTTGTTTGGACGTAGCGTGCAAGACGATCGGCCCATAGTGTAGTCACCGTTTCATGCAGCAGGGCATTTTCCTGCTTTTTTTGCCGCAGGTCCTCGGCCTCCTTCAGGCGTGCGTCATTCAATGAGCGGAGTTCCGCCAGAATGCTGGCGTATTCGTTGTTCAGCTGCGCGCGGCGGGTCGAAATCCGCCTCCATCGCGACCCCGCCAGCGCGACGCCTGTCATCGTCAGACCGCCAAAGAGACAAACTGCACCCAGCATACCACGTGACGCCATTTTAATAAAAAAATTAAAATAGCGCCCGTCACTTCAAAACAATTAAAAAAAAAAAATAATCCAACTGGCATTGTGGCAGAGAAAACAACACACTTTGTATGAGTAATGTGGAATAGTCAAAATAATAACACAAAAAAACAAAAGCACGCGAAAGATCTCTCGCCCCTTCTAGGAAACGACTCATTTTCGCTTCTCAAGTTTATTCTCGGCGTTTAAAGTTTCGGAGTAGGCAACACAGCTGAAAGACGGTACAAGTCATAAAGGGACTGCTCCAATGCATCAGCATATAGTTGGCATATGTGTCTTCCACCACTTTTGGCAACCCCCTCATCCACCAGCTTATTTTTCCACGTGCCCTTCAATGGACGTGCAAAACTTTTGTGCGCTGAAAATGCAAAGGTGAGGTGGTCAGGGAAGAGGGAGTAACCAATTCCAATGCCATCTGGGTGTGTGGCTGTAAAGCAAAAAGAGGCAATCCCACTGCCAGTGATATTGGAGGTAGAAAGATAATCACATGAGAGCTCTCGTAGAGATGAAGAGTCAAAAAATAAGGCATCAACGAAAGCCAGAGCCTTTGAAAAATCACTCGCGAGTGGCGGCGAAGTTGCACGTGTAAACCGCTCCTTCGCCACATTGTGGAGACGCCGCAGGAATGTCACAGCTCGATGAAATCCCTCTCCCGCACGGCACACCGCAATGCGTCTGCAGTGCTCTTCGTTCGCCTTTTGCAACGCCACTGCAACTGCTTGATCAAAGACTTTTGTATTTTCCGCCGATTCCACCAAATCGGCCAACGCCTGAGTCTCTTGTGTGACCGTCCGTAAAGTCTCCGTGCGTCCATGATGATATTTTTTCATTAAAAGGGCACAATACGTTGATCGCTGGTCACCAAAGAGTCGCCGCTGGGCGAGATGAAATGCGGCGTGCACAAAGGCTTCAGGACTCACACGGCAGTGTCGCTTAATTTCATTTCTTCCAAATGCACAAATATTCCGCACTGTCAGCTCCGTGTTATCCACGTGCCGCTGATGGGCCTGGCGACACTCGGCAATCGCATCAAGAATATCTTCAGTCAATGAGCCAAACTGGACAGGCCTCACGTGTGATTTATAATCTGGCAATGAATTGATCCACGCAGTTCGATCCAATGCAATGTATTCCTTGCAAAAAGACACGGCATAGTGGTGGATCATACTGCAAACCAGTAACATGGTACTGCCATCACCCCACGAATGCTCCATATTGCAGCTGGCGCCGCCCGCGGGGTTTAACATGTACATAACATTGATGTCAGGATAGCGATTCTCCGGGTACTTACCACCGTGAAGAGACAGGGCGGGGTCCATTTCATCATCGAGACAAATTGAAAAGCTGCAGGACGTAATATCATCCAGAGCTGCCTTTGAAGTCCCTTCATTCCACAACCTCTCAAAAATACGCGCCCACGTTCCACGGCACCCGCTTGAAAATACCAATGGGTTTTCCCTTTGCAAAGACAACGTTGACGTCTCGCAAATGAAAGCGTTAATTAGACGAGCATTTGCAACCACCTCCTCCAACCACCGCAACCCCAAGCCGCTAACCTCATCCTCAGCACCAAAACTAACCCAATCCAAGACGAACGGATGCCCCCTACGGAGAATCAGTACCTTGTTTGTACACGACCAACGAAGCCCATCCATGCCAAGGTGAGGAATACGAACAGTTCGAAATAATCGTGTCAATTGGTCACGGCAGAGCTTCAAATCCACACGGCAAGAAGTTGGGAGACGACTCTGCCCCTCCAAAGTGAAAAAACGTGGGTTCTTAACGAGACGACGCAAGTGAAATGATGCTGCCCCAATGATTGCCGCCCGCAAGGCCGGCAAAGAAATATTCAGTTGCTGGCAGGGTTGTTCAAGCGAGGGCCCATCAAGATACAACGTGTAGTTCCATCCAAATGGCAGTGCACTCCGGTTGCCAAGATAAAATGAATTCCACAAAGCCGCCATGTGCGAGGTACGCAGCAAATTGTTACAAATACGCTTGTACTCCCTTGCATATTGCTCCAAAAAGCAAAAATATTCCGCAATGCCGCGCCATTCTGGAGGAACTTCACCGTCTCCTCCCCGAAGACACCGCGTCACCTGCTGAGCAAAGTTAACAGCCGTTTCTTTTCCATCGACGCCGTCTAGCGGATCCAAAAACTCAACGTACCGTTTCAGCAGCGTTGCAACGTCGGGCAACGGCAGCTGAGAGAGGCGTGAGGCCGTGTCGCCATGCGGACCCATTCCCGCCAATAATAATTTTAAAAAAGACTTCCGGGAAAAAAAGACAAAAAAATCAAAGGGAAAAAAATGCGAAAACCCGCACCCTGGAGGAAACCCCAACCACGCACGCAAACGACAAGCATAATAGAAAAAAAAAAAAAAAAATAAAAGTCTCTAAGAGATGAGCACCAGGAAAGCAAGCATGAGCGCGAACAGGCCGATCGCTTCCATTGGAACAAAAACAAGAATGGCGTAGTGAAAGAGCATCTTTGTCAAGTTTGGTTAGCGTGCGCGGGCGACAAGCAACTTAACAAAGACGGTACCAATGCCAACACCAACATCTGCAAGAGTGATGGCCAGCGAGTCCGGTGCCAAAGTAATGCGGGCCCTGCACAGAAATAGCCACCGTGGAGGCGGAAAGAAAAGAAAACGCCGAGGATGAAGCCGTCAGTTGTCTACTGACAGGCCTAATTATATTAAGGCGAAGAATCCATTCCTTCTTTTGTGTAAATCTCTATGTGTCTGTTAGATTTTTTTTATTTTACTTCCGGTATTAACCCTCTGGCCGTCATGTTATAATAAATCCCTCAGTAGAAATACAAATAATAATAATAATAATAATAATAAAGAAAACAACATGAAATCGCACATTTTGGTCAGCCACGTACACAAAAAAATAAATAAATAATAATAATAACTCATACGTTTAAAAAAAAAAAAAAAAGCATATCACTTATCCATCTAATGGTCATTTACACAAAAGAAACCTTTTCTGTGTCTGTGGTAACTCCCGGATGACTCCATTGTTTTCTTATTCCTGCGGTTTCTTGATCTTTGGTGCCATTTTCACAATTGGTGCTGCCTGGGCCTGCGTCTTTGAGCGAAGTTCCGTGGCAATGGCCTGCGACCTCTTTTTCTGCACGCGCCTCGCCTCCACTGCTTCCTTCACAGATGTGGCGTGGCTCTTTGCCCCCTGCGCACGTAACTTTGCTTCTTGACGACCTTGATTCACGCGCGTCTTGTCACCACCCCTCGTGATCTTCGCGGAACGTCCCATTCGCGGTTATTCTCACTTTAATCGTGAATGTGTCAAAATATCAAAAATTTTTAAAAAGAAAAAAATAAAATAAAATAAAAGACAACACTAATAGTAAGAATGCAAACAACTCACGTACAAGAAATAAAATGTAGTACACTACATGAGACATCATGACTTTTCATAATGTAGAGAAAAAAAAAAACTTTTTTTTTCTTTTTTTTTTTCCTTCAGTTTTTGTTTTCTTCGCCACGACGAATTGCCCGCTTGGCCTCCTGTTCCTTTCGCTTCTCCTCGAGCCGCAGTTCACGCTGGTAGTCGGCCCACTGAGACTCTTGGAGAAAACGCCTCTCCTCCAAATAACTGTTGCCGTGTCGCTGCTGCCTGAAAGTTTCAATGGTGACACCCTCCGCCTTCAACTCCTCCGTCAAATGTTGCTCCCAATTCCGCAACGAATTCGCAATAATGCCAGAAGTTGCGGAGCTGCCGTGTGTCATCTGCCCGTTATCAGCCGCACGTCCACGCCGGACCTTACCAGCAAAAAATGTGGAGCCAACTTTGCTTGCGGGCCGATCACGCTTTCGTCGACGAACGACAATGCCACTGCGCTCTAAAGCAGCACATTCGCGTCGCGTCAAAGCACCGACACGTGCCGGTTGTCTTGTGGAATCCTCCAGTGGAGCCTTGAAGCTCCGGTAAAAATGAGGGCTCGCCGCCGAAAGCACCTCATCAAAATTCTGCAGGTGCGCTGGATTTTGGGAGGAATTGAGAACGGCCAGAAGCCTCGAAAACAGAAGCGAGTTGGAGAATATGGAAAGAATGACAGAGTCATCCGCGTCAAGGGCACCTTTGCGACTAATAAACGGCTCCACATGCTTCCCGTCATCAAGAGCCACGGCGTGACCCAAGTTGCGCTGCGAGAGCAATCTTCTGAGTCGTTGTTGACGCTCCATTCGCTCCTTCGCTAACGCGTCACAACAGCCCTTTCCGGGGTTCCCACGCACATGACTCGAATCGGAGGTAAGGGAGCAACTCGACGACGACAACTCACCGCGGCCGGACGACAATTCCTCAGACTCGCCACTACTCCCACTAGATGAGTTGTTGTTCTCATCGTCATGGGATATGGAAAGGGACCGCAAATGCGCCATCCCCTCTTTTTCTTTGAAACGACTCCTCAATTGCAAAATAAAAATAAAAAGCAACGAAAAAAAAAAATCTCTGGCATCGCAAAAAAAAAAAAAAAAAAAGTCGCATTCAACACATTTTTGTTGTTGTTGTTGTTTCTGCCACATGCAGAATATGTCTCAGGATGTAGATTTAAAAAATCTCTAGGCACCTAATCCCAACCGTTGCTTCTCCGCCGCAGTGAAGTACACCGCCAGGAGATTTAAAACAAACCGGTGAAGTTCCTCCAAAATGCTTGTCGCAATTGAGCCTAAATTCTGCCTCCCACTACCTCCGCCAAGACTGCCCGAGGAACGATGCGTGGGAGATAAACCCTCGCGTGCGTTACGAGTCAGTGCGTCCACAACCTGGCGTCCCTTCACAATGCGTTTAAAAAGAATTCCCATCTGCTGAACCAAATCGCGGCGTGTTTGCAAAATAAACTCAAAGGTACTCTTAAGTTGTTTCACGTAGGTATCCTCCGTGAGGCCAAGTGGTGCTTGTCCAACCAAGTCAGGTTGTTCAATGGAGATATTCATGCTTCGAAGGAATGTCTTAAAGTCATCGACATTCATCGACAGCGCGCCTCCTGCTTCAACAGCCCCCGCACCTGCCTGCTGCTGTGATGATGTTTGCGGCTGCAGAGTGGCTGTGCCACTAAAAGTAGCGGCATTGCCTCCATTTGAATAAACACCAGAAGCACCACTCCCCAACCCCACATTGCCAGCCACACCACCGGTTTGATTGGAACTGGCAGCGGTGTTTGGTGGCAGTAAATAATTAGCATTCGCCACGCTTGCTCCCGGTTTGGAGATATTCCCGACCGATCCGCCTGCATCTTCGGTTCGATTGCTTGCCGCCTTCATAGCGTTCAATGAGTCAAGAAGAGCCGGCAAGCTCTTTTTAAACGTCACAATGTCATCATCACCCGACGCGTTTCCCTCCTTCTGGGCAAGACTTAAAATTTTATCAAAAAGCTGGCTAAACTGCGAGCCCGCATCCGGATGTTGAAGGTACTCAAGCAGTTGCCCATAACTGTCTGGATCGCGATCACGTAATAAGTGGAGAAACTGTATGAAAGGACCATTACGATCACAAAGCAACTCTTTTGTGTGCTCATCACAGTCCATATCAAAACGATCAGGATTGCGCAACATTGTGAAATTAAGAAGCGCGGCCAGATGAGGATCGGTGACACGCTCTGCAACCCTGCGACGAAATGCATTCATGAGTGCCGTCATGTCGCGCTCCTCCTCCTCTTTGCGCCGGATTGTGTACTCCATGGAGACAACCAAGGATCCCAAAATTTGACTTCGTCTTCGCAGCTCATTGAGTTCCTGGCGCATGGCACCCTCCGTATTGGCAAGCATTTTTTTGTACATCTCCCTTTCAGCAGACTGCGAAGAAGAAATTTGCCCCATCGCCCCGTGAAGCCGCGCATTTTCTGCCCTCAACTGCGTCAATTCAGCATCTCTATCACGAAGCCGAATCTCTAGGTGCGACTTTTCCGTGCAGGTCGCCGACAGCTGCTGCTTGAGATTCGCATTTTCGGAAATTTTGGCCGATAACTGTGCTTTGGTCTGAGAGGCATCCTGCACAGCCGTGTTGTGATCTGCGCGAAGCACGTTGGTCTCCCGCTGCGCCGCATCGACGCGGGCGTTGCTGTCTGTGACGCTTTTCTGAAGTCTGTTCACATCTTCTTCCAGTTCCTTCATACGAGCGGTACGCGAGGCAATCTCCATTTCCTTTTCTTTAAGAACATTCTCAAATGAAATGAGCCGTAGCCGCATTTCATGCGCCTCATCACGTACTTTTCGTAGTTCCTCCTTCACATCCACCACACGACTGAGGGACTCCGCCACACGGGATGACAGCTGTGCATTCTCTACTGTCAGCGCACCCCTGGCATCATGAACCACAGCCGCCTGATCATATGGACTGATGGTCGGTGAAGATCGACATGGCAAAAAGTAACCCGCCACATCCCACACATAAATGACGCCATCATTTCCAATTGTCCAAATGCGTGCCATCTCTGCAGCGTACACACGTGCAGCGTAATGAATAAACGCGTTGTGTGCCGTCCTTGAACGGCTAACTTCTTCACGCGTTTTAGCGGCAAACACAACGACGGACCTGTCGTATGAAGTGGCAAGAACTTTTCCACTAACCGCTAACATGGATGTCACAGCGCCATTGCCGACTGAGAGTCGGCAATTAAAGCTCATGGGTACAGAGAGTGTGTACACGCTAACGGTGCCGTTAGTTCGTCCCACCCAAAGTGTAGATGTCGTCGAGTCTACAAGAATACTTGTAACGGCGGATTTGTCCTGCGTGTGCTCGCAAATAACCTCCCCACTACGGGAATCCCAAAACTGCACAACGCCGTCGCGCCCGCCGTTAACGACAAAACCCCCAGTCACTGTTATTGCCGTCACAGGCGCAAGAGCAACAAAAACTTTCACCTGCTCCTTTGTAAAGGGGTTCCATTGCACGATGCGGCCCGTCTCCGAGCCGCCCAGCACCGAAAAGCCGTCAAAGAAAAGTGACAAAATGGGTGCCCTTGCCTCCACACCTAAAATCGTCATGGACTGCTTCCACCGCTTTGTAGGTACGTCAAATATATGAATAGCACCGTTGATACTCCCCGCCCACACCTCATCACCATGAACAAGCACCATACACTTGAACTGCACACGCGTGTCGGTACCACCAACAGCAATGCGCTCCAGTACATTTCCCCGCTGTGCGTCGCACACAGCAATCCCACCCTTAAGCTCTGTCACCCAAACGTCATTACCAGCAACACAACAACAACGCGCCTCGCATTTAAAGCTTTCCACTGGTTCCATGCCAGATGGGCGTTTTGAAGATTCCCCACTCCTCACAACCGACGTCATCTCCCGCTGCTGGTCCTCTAACAACCTATAAATTGACCAACAGTAAAAAACTATAAAGAAATGTCAAATAAGTAAAGGAGAAAGCTTTGCATGGCGTTTTTTCAGGCTCCTTCTTACCCTCCCAATGCCACTGCACAGATGGTCCACCTCTTTACTCGCCTTCAGGAAGTTTTTTTTTTGTTGTTTTTCGCTCCCTCATTCACGCAGACAATTTTCTTTCTTTTTCTTTCTTTTTTTTCTTTTTTTTTAGTTCATCAAGGAGAGAAAATGCGATCCATCACACCTTTACAACAGACCCACATCCCGGGTGTACCTGAATGACGGGGTAGTGATAATACTTCTTCATCGCACTGTCATACTGTGGTATCATGCGCAAGCGACCAGTTACGAGAAAACGATCGCCCTCCTTTAGTTCTTTTTTCATCTGCTCACAGAAGGAATTATCGAAAATTCTTACGGTGTGAAAGTCCTTATCAGGATCTCCGGGAGAGGGACCTTCAAAGTCTGTGATTAACGTAAATTGCACAACCTTCTCTTCAAATACGTAGCCCTCCTGAATGTTCTGCACAGGGCCCAGCACAACGCAGTAGTTTACGCAGCGCCAGTGAGCTGCCACATCTCCCTCTTCCGGTGCGTTAGGTGCAACATCAAGGTGATACTGTGGTGCCTGTGGAAGAACAGATTCTTGGCTATGAACATAGTGAACGCCGGTAGTAGACTTTACTGCGTCATCCGTGGCACCTCCAAAAATGGCATTTGCCGCCCCCAGATTTGTGCTGCTTTGAGATGCCGCTCGAGTACTACTAGCGCTTGTAGAATTCGTCGGCATTTCCATGTTATGTTTGGCTTGGTAGTGGTGCTGCAGGGCAGCCTCTAAACGAAAAGTCTTCTGGCAAATGGTGCAAACAAAAAGTTTCTTGTCGGCATCCTCATCGGCCACGGAACTTTCTGTCCCGGAAGCATTTTTCCCTGCATTGGTCGGAGCACCTGCTGCCGCCGTCGATGTCAGGGGCATCGACGCAACACCAAGAGGTGATCCAAATGCCGCGGTGCCTCCAAGAGGAGAATACGTCATGCCGGGAAATCCCGTTGGAATTTGTGTGGCTGACATGGTGGCTCCCGTTGCTGTTGTCGAAGCTGCATGAGTGGCGTCTGTAGCATGTGATGACTTGTTTTTTGCCTCCTCTGGCTTGACCTCCTCCAGTTTGCCTGCTTTTAGCACCATCGCCTTCGCGTGTCCCGCGTGCTTTGTCATAATGTGATGATTCAATGCGTTAAGCAGTCGAAACGTCTTTCCACACTCACCGCATTGGTACGCGGGAGTCTCCGTCTTTGGGGCCTGCAACAGCGACGTTTCTCGGTAGAAGCGAGTCGACATGTTGAACGGCGGGGCGTAAAATCCTCCGCCTCGAGGAAACAACGCTCGATATGTCCGTTGTGACAAGTGTGATGCGATCCGCCGCATTTTGTTTCTAAACCTCTTTTCGCCTCTTTAACTAAATTTTTATTCTTCTTGATGCTGCACTTCTCAGCCACCGTCTCTGGCACACAATGCACATCAGGCGAAAAGAAAAAAAAACATAAAAAAAGCACACACGCATACACACATTTAATGCATCCACTAAGAAAATAAATACAAACACAACAATACCATATGCATATGCGGCGTTTTATTTACGCACACATGTCTGTTTGTGTGTGTGTGTGTGTGTGTGTGTGTGTTATTTGTTTAAACGTTGTGTTTCGCCTCTTCTCCTGGATTCGTTCCCCTCTCGCCCCCGAATTTCGCCCCATTCCAAAAGGCCCCGCCTTTTAGGGCGAATCCATCACCCTATTGGGAAATCACTGGGATAAACACATTTTTGACACGCCACACGGATAGCACCGCCCGCATAAAAAGAAGCAAAGCAGATTGTTCATCCAAACTGCCGCTGCCGTTCTCGTCACAAGCAATATTTTCCTCCCTTGCCGAAAGGGGCATGCCATCCATAAGAGAACGGCATTCCAACTGAAGCGCCGCCACAAGTACAGCATTCTCTTCACTCACATCCACCGTAGGGTCATCCACTCTGACACCTTCCAGCAGCACCCGAAGAATAGCTGCACACCACATTTCATCGACATCCCCTGCCGCGTTTTCCGCCCAACACGCCGTCAGTTTCGTTATGTGGCGACACTCAACGACTGTCGTGATGTCAAACCGCGTGCGGCCCTGCATCAGATACGTGACGACCCCCGGTGGCACACAAGAGCGGACAATCGTGTCGTTCTCCCACGCAAGAAGATCCTTTGCGGTCACGGCAACACAAGTCGTGAACTTGGGCATGGAAAACATCCAGTCGGCAGAGCGCAACCGGTCCACCTCCTCAAGTACAGTTTTCGAAGATCCAGCAGCTGGTCTACGTCCCTCACCGTCCACAATGCGAGTGTTCTCCCGCAGTGCGCCGACAACATCCAACAGAAACACGCTTTCATTCGATGGATGCAATGTTTTTTCCTCGCTTCCCTTCGTCTCCTCATTCCGCTTCGATAGGAAAATAGACGGATCGATCTCCCACGGCGCCGAGTGTGCCGTAATAACACCGACATGACGAACAAAGAAGTCTGCCAACGATCGTTGTGTACAATGCACCACGTCTTCACCATTAATATTTTCGTCGCTGCAGTAACCTTCTGGCAAAACCCCCGCCATTTGCAGCGTGGTGACTGACGAGCGAACAGAGCCAATCGAAGAGGTGGTAAAAAAGACGTACTGCCCTTCAGGCTGAAGATATGCGCTGAGTCTTTCACTACACGATTTGACAAGCAGCGTGCAGTGGTGGCACGCGATGTCCCGCTGCACCCGCATCGCTGAGCCCGTAATTTTCTTCCTATCCAGAAACAGGTCATGCCGGAACGTTGTTGTCAGCCGCTCTGGGCAAATGTCAAAAGCACAGCAGAGAAACAAACGAATTATCTCAATCGTCCTCTCAGGGTGGTACGCACTGCGGTGAGTAAAAAAGGAGAAACAGACATTTCCCGTGTCGTGATACACGGCCCCACCGCCAGAACTCCGCCGAGCGATGGGCACACCATCCCTTCTGGCAGCAGAAACCGCGACTTCCTGCAAATAGTTCTGGTTCCGACCAATAACCACACACGGGCGGTTCACGTACGAAAACAACAACTGCTGACCAGGCGGCAGGATTACACCGCGCAGCAGCGCCTCCTCAACCGCAAGATTCTCAAAAATACAACGCGAGTTTGACACAAGAGCCACACTTGCACGAGCCTCTGTCAGTTGGCGTTCTGAGTGCGTGGCGGTTGCATGTCGTGTGAGAAATGAAAATAATGTCGTGGTGGGACACAAACACCAACCCATACGCCGCATCATATCCAAATGTCACGCCCCTCTTCTCTTACCCCCAACCCCACCCTCCCCCGTGAACGGTCTGGGAAAAAAAAAAAAAAGGGAGACTTTCGCAGAACAAACGCCCAAAAAAAGGGGAAAAAACACACAGTAACAACAAAAAAGTAAAAAAAAAAATATATTTTATCACAAAGCCAAAAAGAAGGAGGGAAAAGGCCAATAAAAAAGCAACAGCAAAAAAACAAAAAGCGAAACAAACACAACAGACAGTCCCACCAGATTCTAGTTGCTCTTCTCTTCCTTCTTATTCGCGCATGGCACCTATATACATTTCACAATATTGGCATGCCAAATAAAAAAAAAAAAAAGAGAAAGTGTTCAAGAAAACCACATATAAACACGCGCACAGAGCCGGGACGTTACTCATATTTCTTTGGAGGCTCAGCGGGTATCGCGTCTTTGGCTGGTACTTCCGTCACGGTGTTGCTTTTTGAGCGGCGCAGCAAAAACAGAGCGAGATGGTCTATCGGGTTCGCCGGGCGTTGACGACACAGATCCTCCAGTCCCTCCGTCAGCACAGCCATCACCGTGCTTTCAAGGTACTCTGGCACACTCAACAGCCGCACCGGCTCTTCTGAGGGGGGTGCCACCGTTGCGGAGCCCTCATCACCTCCCAACATGGTTCTAGGCTCTCAAGACGTAAGGAACACCACACCCACCAACACCCCTGGCTTCCTCCTCCGCCCTTTTTTTTGTTTGTTTTTGCCCTTTTTTGTTTCGTTTTTTTTGTTGTTGTTTTGTTTTTTTTCCCGCACCTTTGGATGTGCCGATGTGTTTTCTCTTTTCCTCCACCTGGCTTACATTCTACAGGATCATATTGCCGACACACGTGTCGTCGTCAAGAGAAAAAAAAAGAACGGCGTAAGAAACTGTAAACTTATTTTTATAAAAATGAAGTGATGCCACTGGAAGAGGTGCAGCCATCATCATCGCCACAGAGACGGCAAAAGACACACAGAAAGAAAAAACGGCGGGAAGTATTGATAGGGAACAATAATTGGCCTGTAAATTATATGCGCGCGTTCCATCCGCCAAAAAAAAAGAAAAGTCCCCCACACTGTCGGTTACCACATCGCCCAGAAGAAAAAAAAAAGGAAAAAAAAAGCTAAACATATGTGTCCTCCTCCTTTTCGCCCTCCCTCTGCCTTAAGAACCGCCACAGTCTTTGACGTCGACTCGCAAAAGCATCCAAACAAATGGGAGGGATAAAAAGAAAAAAGAAAAAAGAGGAAGAGAGCGTAAACCCAAAATAAATGAATGGAAAGGGCAAAAAAATTTAGACAATAAAAAGGGGGAGAAGCATACTTGTAGTCGCTGCTTTTGTTTTTTATTTTATGTTTTCTTCCATGTTCCTTCCTTGTTGTCTCCTCCCTTCCTTGAATATATATATATATATATGTATATATATTATTTATTACCTTTCAAATCTTATAAGTCGCTAGGACTTTTGATGCCTCTTTCCAACATTCATCTATCTTTCTGGTTTAGCCCGCTCCCTTTTCATTCTTCCTCCCCGCGTGAATCTCTCCTGTTGTTCCCTCGGCGCATCGCTGTCATTGAAGGGCATGCCCCGACGCCAGATGTCATCCTTTACCTGTGCCGCTGCTCCAACCTCTTTCTTCCGTTGTCTCTGTGTGTGTCTTCAAACCGGTTCACATGTAGTCCGTCAGAAAAAAAAGACAAGCATACTCAATGGCAAAGCAACCGCCGGCGTCTGTCAAGAGCAATTGTATGAAACGGTGACGGAACTCCTGCGACGGAAAGGCGACAATTTCAAACAAGGCGTTGCTTTCAGGATCCGTCTCGGATGCAAAGTAAATGACGACTAAAGTAAGAACAATCAGTGCGTAAAACATGGGCTTGTTCTTTCGCATGCTTTGCATAAAAGGCTCACCGCGGTAGTTGACAGCAAATGTAACACCACCAATAAGGGTGGTTAGCAAAAACATCGCTGAATTCAACAAGGTTGGCTTAAACTCCCCTTCAACCCCAATTTCCCGCATACTTGCCACCTCCATGCTATCCACCTCCTCCACAAGCTTCACAGTCCGCATCATGCTATACAGATGTAGAGCAAACTGCATAAAAATGGTGCAGATCATGTAGGGATGAAATACGCGTGTAATCGGTCGCTGTGGACACAAAGTGGGCATTGGCTGACTGCGTGACATGCAAAGGAAGCAAACAGATAAAATCACACCGGACAGGATCATCTGTTTTTCACCAAGCCTTACACCGTCTGTATGCAACACTGACATGGAATAAGCGGAGGTAAGGCAGTTAAGAGCAAGAATCTTGTACATTTGTAATGTCGTAACAAGCGTGCTTCGACCAAGACGCACAATGTCACAGACGGACATAAGGGCCTTCGAGCGACATGTAAAGGGGGCCGCTATGGAAGCATCTCCGAGCTTAATTTGTGGAGGTCCACCCAGATCCATATCGTCTTCATTAAAGAGCGATTGCATGAGAAAGTCGGAGGTCGATTCGGGTGGTGGTAGGGTGACGGCTGCCTTCTCGGCAATTTTTTTCTTCTTCACTTCATCCAGCTGTTTATTCCAGCGCGCAATCTGCATAATCTCTGCCTTGCGGCGAGCCTCGGACATCTTCCACCGCATTTGCACCATAAACGGGGCATCCGCCGATGGTTTTGGAGGTAAAACCGTTAATTTGAATCCCGGTGGTAGCTTGTGCTCCGCCGGTACATCGGGCTCGTTGTGTGACTGGGGTGAGTTGTCCACCACCTTCCCGTCCGTTTTTTGCGGTGCCACAGCCGCAGCGTTTAGGACGGCAATACCGGCGTGAGCCTGTTTCAACGCCCCCACGTCGTTCGTCCCATCACCCGCCATAAGAACGGTATGATCCTTCTTTTTGAGGTCCGTCACAATATCTTCCTTCTGAGTGGGGGCGCACCGGGCCCAGACGGCGATTTGCTCGTTGTACGCTGCAATGAGCTCTGTCATGCTCGAGGGTGACAGATTTTCTGCACTCACGCAGAGGTCCCATTCATCATCTAAAGGAGACATATGTTTGCGGGTCCGCACAAAAGTTTTTTCCAGAATGGCGCGCTGGTCAAGTGATATCCGTTCTCCCGTCGATGCATCGCACCATTCCACGGCACCACTTCCATCCCCCACCCCACAAGCAACGAGCTGCCGGCGGCACTGTAGAATTCCCACATCTTGCCCAACCGATATGGCCGTTCGCACACTGTCTCCTGTAATAATAACGCAGCGGTGGCTTCCGTTTTGCAGCATGACAATCGTACTCTTCGCATCCTTTTTTAATGGACATTCGTACACAGCAAGTCCAACAAATTTGAGATTCTTTTCGCAGTCTTCTCGCTGTAAATTGTGAACAGAAGCCTTCAATCGCTCCTCCTCCTGCAGGGGTCGCATGGCCAACGCGATAACGCGGTAACCCCGAGAAGCATGCGTGTCTGCCACTTGCTGGTAATCCGGCGGGACACTTGTGCACAAATGAGCAATAGCCTCAGGTGACCCCTTCGCCACCACATATTTCCCCTCTGATGTGCTAACAAGACATGACATACGCCGTAAATTAGCCGAAAACGGAAAGCGAGAGATGATCTTGTACCGCCTGTTGCCATCCTCGGCATGTTTCTTGTGTTTATTGGATTTTCCATGGCCGTCATTTTTATTATTTTCCCCCGCAGCCTCCGTATCCTTGGGGGCCGGTGGGTCGTAGACAACGGTGTCGTCCAAATTCACCCTGTAGCCAAGCGCACCAAGTGCGGCCTTTTCCATGGCATCCCCAGCCACCGTGTCGGTTCCCTCCAGCTGCAGCAAAGAGTGGCACGTCACCAAAACCAATTCGGTCATTTTCGGTATTTTCTTCAGCTGGTTCAGCAAACCATTCCCATCTGCCATGTCGACACCTCCGAATAGCATCTCATCCGTTGTTAGAGTGCCCGTCTTATCAAAGCAACAGGTGTCCACCTTCCCTGCAAACGGAATACGGAAGGGTTCGGTGCAGAACACCTGCAGTTTAACAAGCGCGAGTAGAGAAGTGTTCACTGCCAAGGACAATTCCATCGGTAATTCCGGGGGAACAACTGACGTAATGATTTGAACGCAGGATAAAAACAGCTTCCATCGGCTTCTATTGGGGTCTTCCAGACCGCGCTTAAGAAGATAACCAGCAGCGGCAAGAGCAAACACAACAAGGACCCCAATGAAAGCAAAAGATTCTCCGCTGTTCTCGCTTACACGCCCCTGGCTATGAAGGATGGTGCGTAGCAACTTTCCCTGTTTTGTCTCAAAACCGGTTTTAAGAACAACAGCGAGGGCTCGACCGCGCTCCGTATCGCTCTTACCGTGTGGACCGTTGCTAAGCAGCAGCTCTGTACCTGAATAAAGGAGGTGACGACTGTGTTTCTTCATGACTAAAGAAAGTTCCATTCGATCAGGGGCCTCTTTTAGCTGTGGTGTTGATTCACCTGTCAGTGTTGCCTCATTTACGATGCATGTGCCACGCACAAGTATGGAATCCACTGGGCAGGCTGCATTACTCTCCACCACCATGAGATCCATCGGCAACAGCTCGTTTGTCTTGATGCGCACTTCCCGTCCTTGTCTTATCACCGTTACTTCACGCACAGGCACCTCTGCCATATCCCGCAATGTCCTCATGTTTCGAATGCGCTGCATCACGACCGTACACTCCATACCCACCATCATTACCCCGGTGAAGATCGAGTAGTACCAATACTCATCCAGGCACCACAGCAATACACAAAACATCTGAAATACAAAGAAGGGGGCCAATGCATGATCGACAAGAAGAGTTTGAAAGTCCGGAATCACCACCTCCATCTTGTTTGGACCAAAATTATCCAGTTGTTCTGCACACATGGCGCTGCCGCTGAGCCCTTGCCAGTCCAGATAGTGTGACAAGGGTTCCTTTACGGGGAAGTGTGGTTTGACAAAGCCTCCTTTCTTGGCGTCAAGCTTCCACTTCCGCTCCTGAAAAACAAAATGAATCGGATGATCCTCAGAAGCCTGCATAAGCGGCACAATCTCGGATTCCCCCTTGTGTTCATGCGTGCAGACAAGAATGTGAGTAGCCGACTCCATATTTTCCCGAGTCACAGTTTTGAAGAGAATCATCGAGCGGAAGCGCACGGACCATATGGTGAAGAGGGACAAGAAGCCATGCAGAAAGAGCAGCACAGGGGTACAGATAGCGTGAAAGAAGTCGATGTAAGTCGAGTGCACAAGATACGTCATACGGTCCCACACCAATTCAGGATCCATGTAGAGCGCGAAGGATACCGCGTAGAGCACCACAAAAGGCCACACTGTCACCCACGTCGACCAGTGACGCCGCTGCAGCAGGCGCACCTCAGAAATTATGTTATTCTTCGGGATCATCGTTGAGTCCCCACAAGATGTCAACAACGCGCAGGGGAAAAGGCAAAAAAGCCCCCAACAAAAAGAAAACGAATAATAAAAATAAAAGTCAACAGAAAATAAACTCAATGTACACTCCTTTCTCAATTCTTGTCGGGCGCCGCTCCTCCTGGTGTTCACCAACTGTCTTTTTTTTTTCTTCTTCTTCTTCTTCCCCTTTCTTTGCCTTCCTTCCTGTGTGTGTGTGTGTGTGTGTCTCGTTTACTTTTATTTCTATCCCTAACGCCCTCCTTTCCCTATCGCTTCGCGGAGTGTTCCCCTACAATTTTCGAGTGTCAACCTCCTCTTCTTTTACTTCCCCGCCCCCTTTTTTTTTTTTCTTTAAGACTCAGCGGCGTGATTAATTTATTACTCCCCTTCGCCCTCTGCGGTGGATGCCCGTTCAGTGGATTTTTTCTTCGCACTTTATTTATTACGTCGACTTCTCCCTCTCTCTCTCTCTGTTTGTGTGTGTTGCGCTTGGGACGCCCAATTCAAATTAGTTTCTGGCGAGCACAAAAGGGAAAAAAAGGCAGAAAAATGACAGGGCGGAAAAGAAGAAAACTCATATATAAGCACACACGCAAAGGAAAAAAAAAAAAAGATAAATAAATTAATAAATCGTGAAGGTGTCAAGCATAAATGTGCCCAAACTTCAATTCCTCTTACTTCCCCCTGGATATCTTCACCGCGCATTTGGTGTTCACATGTGGCAAGGGGGTGGGAGGGGGGGAGGTGGACCATATATATATATATATAACATCTGCACCGAGTGACAAGATTCAAAAAAAAAAAAAAGTTCCATAAAGGCAGAAAACACATGCATTCCATCCCACGCATACGCATCATCATCTACGGCGAAGGAGCCGCACGGCCTCTTCACTTCCTGAAGACGCCGCCATTTCTAACCATGCGCGGGATTTGGTCTGAAGATTTACAATAGTACTTTCGTCGCAGTTGTCAGGTTTGGCGTCACGTGCCAGTGCCGCTGCCTTCCACAAGAGTTTGCCTAAATTCAACTGGGCCATTGTGTGTCCACGATCTGCAGCCCCCTTATACCATTCCGCCGCCTCACCCCAGTCAGCAGGCAAAGTGCTCTCGCCACAATCCTCTACGCCATCTTCGTACATCACCCCAAGTTCAAACATTGCAGGGGCATAGCCAGCGTCAGCGGAACGTTCAACCCACACGAGTGCCGCTTCCAAGTCCTTGGGCACCCCGATCCCATCACGCAGACAAAGACCGACAAGAAGCATCGCCCCCGTATGTCCATTCGCTACCGCATCGTCCAACATAGAAAGAGCCTCTGAAATATCATTTTCGTTTGCCCTTCGCTTCAGTAAAACCTCTGCAAGCGCCGTAGACACCAATGACCGACCCTTCTCATTACCACCGGTTGCATAGTGACTTTGATAAAACTCACGCAATATTTGTACCACGGCCTCATCAGAAGTTGACTCACATGCCCTCACTAAAGTCGCCACATGTGGACAAATAAAATGTAAACTCTCCGACAGGCGTTTTCTTGGGAGAGCAACCGCCTTTCGGTCCTGGCGACGTCGTCGCAGCTCTTCTAATACTTGCATTACATCATTGGGTCCAACGGCGGATGCCAGTTCCTCTTCGGCCTGTAGAAGGTACTGCAGTCGTTCCTCCAGCTCGCTACGGCGTAAAGGTGCCACTACGGCCGCGGCTCTGGTCGGAATAGCCTCCTTCGTCCGACGAACACCGCGACCTTTTGGCGGAACGGACGGTTTCGCTACGTGAAACATGTGTGTGGTGCATGCCACCGCATTTGGCCTCGTGGAGGCGGTTGATGGATTCATCCGTTTCCAGCAAGAGACGTGAGGTCCCCTCAATAAGAGCGTGCTTCCCTGCCTCTACCCCGCTGTGAGGCACGGTTCTACCCGTCACCAAAAAAGAACATCAAACAGCCAAGAAGCAAATGCACGAACCGACAAATAAAAATAAATAAACACAAGCCTCCGCATGACACGGAGACAAAAAAAAAAAAAAGAAGAATGTCACATCAATGATGCCGGGGTGCAAAAATGAAGGGAATAAAACGCTCTGCGGAATTCTGAACAAAATCAGAGAGCCAACTACATGGCGACAGAGTTTGCTTCTCCCGTATCTTTCCAGCACCGTGTCAAGCACACCTAAAAGCCGCAATGTTTCTCAATGCAATCTCACACCATACCAGGGGTCTTCTCCTTTTTTCCTTGTTTCTCTCACCTCTATTCCTCCCCCTCCACCCTTCCCTCTCTCACCCCTCCCCAAATCTGATTGAGCAACCGTGTCCCCTCTAAAAGCATTCGTCCGTTAAAGCAAGGGGCTAATCAAACGACTCAAAATGATCCACAAGATACAGAACACGACAATATGCAAGAACAAGAAACAGATGTACAAAATGTAGGACTTTACAAAAAGCCCAACATACAAGCACATAAGTGTAAGAAACAGCGGAGCGTAAGTGAGAACGACTCGTTTTTTACGAGTGAAAGCCTGATAAGGCAATGCGATGGAAAACGCAAAGGGGGCTGAACACGACGAGGCATAGGCGGGCGAAAGAATAAAACGGTTGGTGCTAAGCACATTGAGTGCCCGCACCATCATGAGGTACGCCACAATGGTGAAGGTCAAAAATAACATCAGGGAAAAAGTATGTTGAAAGCCACGTTTTATTACTCCCGCTGAATAGTCCATAGGGACTGCGACGGATGCTAAAAGTAGCGCCCCGAGGGCCGCTGTAGCGTAACATGCGGAGACACGGTATATTCTCCGAAGCTCACTGTTTTGATCCAGCTGTCGTTGGTTCAGCACAGTGAAAAAGTCCATGTTGGCGCACTAAAGACAACGGCAGAACTCCTCCCTCCTCCCTCCTCCCTCCCAACCACTCCAACTGCCAGCAGCCGCAACTGACAATCAGCCGCCAGAAAAAAAACCCGAGTGAAAACTGCACGAAAACCAACAACAGCAAAAAAAAAGGGAAAAAAGAAAAGAAAAGAAAAAAACACGCACAAAAGCGTCGTGCCGGTGCCTCCTGCGACGGTGGGTCAACGACTCACTCGTGTGCGTGGCGAATGGACTGTGCTGCCTCGTAAAACAAAACTTCTAATCCCTCCGAGCGGGGAAGGGAACTAAAAATAAAATCGCGCGGTCCGCCAAAGCCAACAAGCCGACACACCACCGCGAGGAGAGAAAAAAAAAAAAAAAAAAAAAAGCTTTAAGACTGAGCCATCAAAAAAACAGGGGAAATACGCACAAAAGCAGGAGAAAACAGAATGAAGCACCGCGCACAGAAAAAGAGCAGGAAAGGAAAAGAGAGAGAAAAAAAAAGAAAAAAAGATTTCATCAAAATACAAATATATTTATCCTCAACGGCTTTCTCATTGGCTTTGAGCTTCAAAACAAAACAACAACAACAAAAAATAAAAGACTGAATAATCTTCTCTGCCGCTGGCCGGATCCTGAAATTTCCCATAGAAACCAAAAACAAGGTACGGGGAAAAAAGTGGGGTTATCGCAGAGGTCGTTAATTGCCTCAATGTTTTCATTCAATGTATATATATTCTACTGACCGTTCGCATGGTCTTTCGTCCTCAGTTAGGATTTGAATATAATTACCTACGACGTGGCAGACTTTTGGGTCCTCCAACCACAAGACCCTACCGCGTGGTGGGAATCAAAAGGGGGTTGGGTGGAATGGCAAAATAAAAATAAAATTGCCTATTCACTTTCGTTTCCCTGCTGCTCTCCCCATAAAGTCGTGTTCTTCCCAAAAGATTCATAAGACAGAAAAGTTTCTTAAAGAGGTGTATTCGTTTTGGCAGTATATACATACACTAACTAAGTTCGCCAGCTTTCCTCTGTGATCATTCTCTTCACAAGCTCCTAAAACGCCGTGGGTCGCTCAAAAAAAAAAAAAAAAAAGAGAGATACACGTCTGAGCAACCACAACAAAGAAGAAATATATATATATACGTTTTATATCTAACGGAAAAGTCACAAAAAAAAAACAGGCGGCACAAATAAGCACGTGCCAAAAAAAAAAAAAATTTCGCGGGGTCAACTGATATATGCAGCCTCTTTTTTTATGTTATTGTTTGCAAAAATGAACACCTCCGCATCGGTTTTGTTCTCGCCCTTCACCGCCTGTTTTTTTCGTTTTCCGGCGCACTCACGCGACAGGGACAGCGCGTCATTGCCACTACGCAAAAATTCACTCACGATCGCCTTGCCACATGTCTCAACGGGCAGGCCACTCACAAACCACTTTGCAATCTTTTCATTGAAGCGTGTCTTTGCACCGCGATCCAGCAGGCCGGGGCGGTATATGCACAAATGCGGAAACCCCAGCTTCTCGACGGCAGCATCAGCGCGTCCTTTTGTTTTGCTGTAAAGTAACCACGAATCCTCGTTTGCAAACTGTGCGCTCATCTGCGCGTAGGTGACAAGAGTGGAGCCGCTGAACTCACGCAGAGCCTCAGCAAAGGCGACAACATAATCGTAGTCGCATCGCTCAAAAGCCACCGCACTTCCCGCATCCCGACGTGTGGTACCAAGGCACATCGCGCCGTACTTATGACCGCCAAAAATCTCTTTGTAATGCGTCGCCTCAACCCCATCATTGCCCACGGTCACGGTGGATGCCGATGTGTTCGCCGCTCGGCTTGCCTTTTGCGCCTTAAGCCCCTGCCAGAAAAGCAAGAACTTCTCCCAGTCAAATGTCACAGCCAAAAGTCGCTTCAACTGCTCCTTCGTTATTGCGTCCGGGACTTTTGCCTCCGATGCGTCCATGACAACGGTAAGCCCAAAGAGAGCAGCGGGATCAGAAAGAGCTGATGACCGCGTCAGTGCAAAGACCCGCTCAAACTCCTCCCTTTTCAGCGCCTCACGGACGACGCATCGACCAATAGCCCCTGTGGCCCCAGCCACAATGAGGGACATATGTTATTTCTTGTTGTTGACTCCTGCGTTTCTATTTCCTCCTTTCCTCTCTTTCCTTCGTAACTGACGGAGCGCTAAGCAAAGACTAAAAACTGCACGAAAAAGCCCTTATATATAAAGAAACACACACACACACACACACACACGAAAAAAAAAAAGCACAACCAAAGATCCAAACAAGATGTCACAGGTGGTCAAAGAAAACCACCAACAAAATTTACGGCAGAAACAGCAACAACAAAGGAATAAAAGAGTCGGCCGCCACGTGTGTCTATGAGTGTTACCCTCTTCTGTGAGCATTAATAGAGAGAAAGGAAAATTGATAAATTGGCTACGGCTGCTTTAAATTCCGAGTCTCTGTCAAAGCATTCTGCAGTTGCCAATCACGCCGCTGTCTTCTCAATGAATGCAGGAGTGCGACATGACTCCACCGTCCCTGTTCTACAAGAATTGTTGGAAACAACTGTTTTTTCCCGCCCTCCGCCACCTCAAATGTTTTCAGCCGCCCAATCACCCGCACAATACAGCCCGCCTCCAGTGTGTTGTTCAGCGCCTCCGTGTACGCCTCATCCCCCATGCAGCGAACAGTGTACTGCTCCTTCACAAACTGCGACGCGCCCCCTTTCGCTGTTGGAGATGGGGGCGTCGCGACAGGCTTCTTTTCTGCCTGGTCCCGCTTTGGGGGCTCAAAAAGCAGGCATGTCAGAGTAAACTGAAAAACACTGGATTGACCAAGAAACCCCCTCTGCACGTCATGCATCGCGCCAAGCAGCGTCACGCGATTCAGTGGCCGAGGCGCCAGGGACCTCCACGTCGATGTAAACATTGCCGCAACTCAAAAAAAAAAAAAAGACAAGCACTACTTCCCTTCCTCTTGCAAAAACACATATAAAAGACAAAAAGAAAAAAAAAAAAAAGAAACACGGAACCGTGCAGTAAATTTACCGACTGAAAACACGGAGTGGATGGCACATCAAAGTGCCTGCCCCCAAATAATAAAAAAACAGAAAACAAAAAAAGGGCGATCCCAAAGACAAGCAAACACATAAACTGCCGTTGCATTCCTATCCGACGATAAGCAAGCCTTGCGACTCCCTCCACAACACAAAAGCCAAATAATGCTTCATAAATTCGCACAAATAAAAAAAATTAAAATCCCCAACAAAAAAACCAAAAATATAAATATAAAAAAAAATGTCGATAGAATAAATAAGTGGCGTTACTCAATGTAGCCGCTGAGCACCATGCGCTTCCACTCCTGAAATACTTCGCGTTCAGCACTGCGACGTGAATGGCTGTACGACACAGAAGGGCTCCCGCTCGAACCGTGTCTCCCGTCGGTAGTGCTGTTCATCATGACGGTGGAAAAGCTAGGACGCATGAGCGACACCCCTTTTTCCTTGCTATTGACCCCTGAATACCGCCGGTCGTCGTGCAGTTCTTCTACGATTTTTTTATCCGGCGGGAGCTGCCCAAACCGGGTCTCAATGAGCATCTTCAGGTTCTCGTTTTCCCTCTCTAACTTTTCATTTGTCCGCGCGATCATATTCACCTCCACCTGAAGCTCCTGGAAGCGCAGCTGACTCTCATGGACTTTTCTCCAGTCAATTTTCATACGGCGCAGCTTTTGCCGAAGTTCCTCGTTCTCATTTCGTAGCCTCTCGTTCTCCTCGGCCTGATGTTTATTCGACCTTAGCAATTCCTCTATCTCAATAATTCGCGCCCTCTGACGGTCAGGGCTCTCATCATCATCTACTGCGTTCTTTGAGAGTACTCGCAGCAACTCCCCTCTGAGTTGCGCAATTTCTTGCATCATCGTCTCCCTCTCCTTCTCGTACCTGTGCAGCACCGTCTGCTTCTCCAGGTGGAGCGCCTCAAGGTGGTCCCGCTGCGTCGCCTCCTGCTCCGCTCGAAGGCGCCGTTGCTCCGCCACGAAGGCAACAATATTTTCCTGAAGCTGCTGAATGCCAATGGCGATGGTATGCGGAAGACTCTTGGCGCGTGCGACAAGTTCATCCAGTGGGTGCTGCGGTTCTGCGACATTCTCACGCGAGAAGAATTCATCTACAGCCACATCCTCAACACAACCCTTGCGTACGGCCTGCCCCAACCGCTCCACGTGCGTCAGAAGTTGCCGCAGTCGTTCAGTAAGAAGCTGAACGCACACTTCCGCATCCTCAAGCTTCTCAGCATGGAGGCGATGGGACTCTGCTTCAGCCACAAGAGCCTCATACTGTTTTTGCATCTCCTCATTCACCTCCATGAGCTTCTTCTCAGCAATGACGTGTTCACCCGCGGAAGCCTCTAGCAAGCGCTGTTTCTCTTGCAATCGCTCAATCTGCGACTGTGATTCAATCAGCAGCTGCTGTACCTTGTTTATCTTTCCCTGCAACTCCTCTTTCACAGTCTCGAGGGACTGACAGCGCCGTGTCCGTTCTTCAAGATCCCTTTTCAGTCGCGACGCCTCTTCTGCAACGCGACGACATTCATTCACCCCCCGCTGCAGCCAATCACGCAACTCATCTCGCTCACGCATCAGCTTGTCAAGTTCCTCCTTCTTCGCGCTTATTTCATCCAGCGATTCTGTGTTCATTTGTTTCTGATTCATGCGCAGAGCCTGAAGTTCCTTTTCTAGTTGTCTTGTTCGCTGTTGTTCTTGTGTCAGCCGCTCAAATAGGCTGTCAACGGATCGCTGTGGGCTGGCGTCATCGCCGCCCCTTTTCGGCGTCGACGTTGCACCATCAAGCGAACTGGGAGATGAGTCAGGTGATGTGGTGGATATCTGCAGTTTGAGGGTGTCCAGCTCACGGCGAATGGCAGCAATTTCTTCTTCGGCAAGCCCAGCGTGCGCCATAGGGAGAGCTGTTCACTTCGGATTCTTCCTTTTTCCCTCCCCCCTCCCTCTCTGCTGACGCGCACGCACGTCTTGTACCTCTTCTTTCCGCAAACCAATGCAAATATGCACTTTATGTGCCTTCAAAGAAATGCCGTTCCTGTTTCGTCCGGTAAACTAACGAGAGGGAAGGATAAGGGAAAAAAAAAAAAAAAAGCAAGCATACAAAATAAAAATAAACAAAATGAATAAATAGCCGCATTTTTTCTTATCTTTTTTCTTTTTTTTTTTATTTTTTTCCTTTTCTTCGCTCTTCAACCGTTTCAAGGAGCAAAACGGTAGCAACAATCCTACGCGAGCCGCTTGATAATGTGGAGACCACTTTCTGTCCGCACAACACCGCTGACTTCTCCCACATTCAGCGAACGAGCGGCGTCTTCAAACGGTTTCATCATTACACCGGGGCCGAAAAACCCCAAGTCGCCACCGCTGTTGTAGCTGCCACAGTCACTGCGCTGGCGGGCCGCATCCTCAAATGTTATCTCGCCATCCGCTATCCTCTTCGCCCACTGCTTCAGTTCAGCAAGCGCCGCATCGTACGTGAGATCTGCGGTGCTCTTCCCTGTCCGGTGAGAAACGCAGTTACGGCTCCCATCAAACTTGATGAGCAGGTGGGCCGCCCGTATGCAGTCACCCTTCACCATCGCTGATCTTCTCCCTCAATAAATCAACTATTTTGTGCTCCTTCTCCCCTTGTTGCCTCGCAAAACGTCACTGGGCACCGAAAGTCCGGTCCCGCAGAAACAAAGACGAATATATATGTATATACACGTGTGTAGAGAGAAAGCTAAAAAAAAAAAAAAAAATGAAAAAAGAGACAACACTCTGAAGTGGAATTCGAAAAACACACCTCCCACCGGCGTGCAACGGAAAAATGATATTAAGCTGCGGCTCCCTTGAATACAAGAGACAACAATCACTAATCAAACAACTTCCTCCAGACCATCTTATTCTTCTTCACTATTTGCTCTTTCCTCCCTCATCCAAAATTCGTGCCCAATCTACCGGACACAAGTACATCATGGAACACACACGCAAACCAACAGCAAGCGCACGCGCCGCCAACTCGATAGACTCCGTGCAAACCAGCACGGCCTGGTGAGAACTGTACTGCTCAAGAAGATAGCATGAAAACTCTAGCAATTCAATGTGCTGCTGATGAGGATGACTGTAGGGTCCTACACACGTGTTGTTGAGCTCGCAATCACTCCAATCACAACGTGAAAAAAAACCCTCCCACTCTGGCACCGAAGGCGGCAGCGGTCTCGACTCCCCAGCGCGTTGTTCATCCAAAACAAAATCACTTTTTGCGTCTTCCATAAGGCAGAGTGTCCCTGCAGCCAACTCTGCTGCCTCGTGGACAAAACTGCCGCCAGGTGAATTTGAGCGCAGGCTGCTAAAGCTAAGACATACTGTCGGAGTCACACGAACTTCAACCCCACTAACGGACGCCGTGCGCAGCAGCTCCTCCTTCACCAACCGCGGCACTCGCATCATGTTTTGGTTCTTAACAAATACCTTCTCGTAGAGTGCCGTGGAATTATGAGAACTCCCCAAGGCAAGTAAGGACGTTGTGTCCATCACAAGTAGTGCTCCATGGACAGATGAGGCGAGTTCAGCGGTGGATAAAACACGCTGCCGTAAAGATGACCATAAAATATAAGATGGCGTAATGCGCTGACGGACTTCTTCCACGACATCCGCCATGTTCCTTCTTTTACGGGCAGCCTCAGAATGGATCCTGCTGTGGCTCTGATTATCCTCCTGGTCCCCATCATCATCATCATTATCATTATCATCCATGTCGTTATATCCCCACGGGTGGCGGAGACGAGCGTGCAGCATTTTCTTTTCTGCCTTTTCCTCCGCTTCCACCGCGTCTGCCAGTGCTTTGTAATAGGCTAAAGCCTTTGCGTTGGGGTTCACACGGTGGGCGTCAAAGTTCTCAATGACAAGACTATTCAGGTCTGTGCAGCGTGAAAGTGCCACATAAGCCTGTCCCTCCTCAAAGATGCCCCTGAAATCCACATTAACACGCGAGAGAGACATTCCCTGTGACTTGTGTATCGTAATTGCATACGCGAGTTGCAGAGGAATTTGTACACTGTAGCTCACCTCCCTGTCGCCCTGAAGCACAGACCATCGGTGAGGCTCAACCATGACGAGACGTCCACAGGCACTGTCCTTGCTACCGTTGTCTTTGCACGTGTCAAATCTCACCACGGGCAGAAAAGTGTGTTTTGCCATATTACGGAGATCTACCGGTGTAGTTTTGTTCGAAAAGTCACGCACCTTACGAATGTCAATGAAACTCTCGACGGTGCCGACGCTGCCGTTCACAAGCCCCACAAAAACGTCAAGATTTTTCAGCAGCATCACGCGACAGCCAATCCGCACGGAAACAACGGCCGGGAG